GCTTGCATTTCAGTTAAAAATGTACACTGTTCGTCGTGCATAATGAAATAAAAATAATGATAATGATAATAATAATAATAATAAAAACGAAAGGTAAAGAATGTCGGTGATATTTGTCTCATGTACAAAACTTTTGACGTAGTTCATTTGAGACTTGCTCCTTCTTGATAAGTAGTCGGGCCAGGTAGGGTACAGGCGAACTTTTATCAATTTTAACGCGGGAGAGTAGATGTCGAAATGAGGAGCGTGTGGGCGGATAGGAACGACAAGATGATAGACTAGGGTGTAGTGGATGAAGAGGGTCATCTATAATCTTATGAGCAAATTGAAAACAAGAGTTGATGTGACTATCAATGAGATCTGTGATTAATGAATCGATCGGAATTAATGCTGCACGACTGATGATCACCAAACCACGGCGAATTGTTTTGAAGTCTTATTTTAAAAGACCGGGAAACACTACAGGGGAGCAATAGAGTAGAATGGGTAAAACGCAGTGATGAACGAAGGATGACAGGACTGACTGTGGGGTTCGGAATTGACTGAGTTTACGTGAATGAAAAGACAGGCGTCTCAGTTTTCCCATACAGTTGTAAATATGTGTAGATCAATGAAGATTGCTGTCGATGGTGACACCCAGGTACTTGACTGAGGTCATTTTGGATACAGATTTGTATACAAAAACTATAGTCCGGTAGTAATCCGGGTAGTATTGACACCTTACTCATTTCGGATTGGTGACCTTTTCAAATTTATCTATAACCTTTACAGATACGGCACAAAAAATACGAGTTGAAAGAGAAATGCAGAAGAAGTCGGTTTCATGGAGGTACCAGGTATATAATGCCAATAGTCAACTGAGCAGATATAGGCAAGTGGGAGATACCACCAACACACCGATACGACGACGTAAACTAGAACCGCCCCACCAGTATACCCCTACTCCGGTTTCCTCCCACAATCTTTAAGGGCAAAATAAACTAAATCTAAAACTCTGACCGTTCAGCTCAGTCAAATTCGCACGGGATTAGGAACCGTAAAACATAATACAAATGCCCTCAAATTGCATCAAAAGTGATGGCTTACGCGAAGTGAGAATTTCTCCTCGGCCACTCGCAACGCATCCTCTCTTCGAGCAAGTTGTTCGTTACGCACAGAGATTTCCCGTGATCTTTCCTGTTCTACACGACTCAGTTCTTGTGCCGCGTTATGCAACGCCTCCAAGAGTCGTTTTAATTGTTCCATATTTGGCTGCAATTCACTACGAACACGCATCTCCTGTTCGCAAGCATGTCGAACTTGCTCAATCGCTTGTTCTTGGGCGCTTTTCAAACGGTTTATTTCATCTCTAGTTCAATTTGGAACGCGTACAAATGATATCAGTATGCCAAGGTGGAGCATAGGGGATTTTTATAAAGGCATATGTACGAAGCCTAAATTTATGTACGAAAGCGAAGTGAACAGAATCATCGTGAAGTGGAAAAACTAAGCAAAAGATCGGTATGTATTGGAGCTGGTTCCCATTTTTGCTACTCATCTCGCGACACTACTCGCGAGTAATTATTTGTCTAATCATAAATTATAATCAAGCTAGCAATCCGGGAACATCTAACCACATTTGGTTCGGCGAGGAGAATTCATGTGGACTTAAAATGATACCTACCATTTTTTCGAATCTGTTGGAACAATTAATGTTGGACTGTTAATGAATAAGGTGTCTGAACCTGTTTCACTAGGCTATTTTGATCAACCCAAATGTAAGCTGGCTGGTGGTTGTATGAACTGAACCCGACTGAGCTGGTCCAACCGAGGGATCTTGGGATTGAAACCTAGATAGGCTAGAGGATATTTTCCATTGCCATCGCTATAATGAGAGCGAAGCTTGAGTCTACTTTTTCCCGTGTGTGACTGAGTGAATGAACTAATGCTTCCATAGCACGCTATCATTCACTCTTTTCTGAATTCGAACAATATCCCAAACAAATAATAGTAAAAAGATCTTGATAATAAATTCAGTGTAGTTATTTTCAATCCTGTCTCTTCCGGTTTCTCGTTTTTGTACAATATTCCCTAATTACCCAGTTTATTTGGGTTTGAAAACAAGCGTCTTAAATACCCCCCCCCCCCCTATGTTTCATGATGGTGCACACACACATATACACACACACACACCATCAGCTCAGTTCATAAGTTCAATATTACTTACTCATGTAGGGCTTTTATCCTGGCCACTTCCTGATCGCCTTGTGATCTGGACTCATTCAACTTGTTTGAAAATTCGGCCACCAGTCGATCTCGTTGTTGCTCCAACTGAATCAACCGTTCTTTGCTCTGTTCTTCCAAATAATTCAAATCTTTTTTCAGTCTGAGAAGAAAAACAAACAGGAAGCAACCATACCGCTGGTGTTTCGTTGAATAGAACTGAAACGTTTGTGCATATATGTACATATATATCATCGGTTATATATCCACCATGAAACTAAGGTCACAACAATGAAAATGGAAAAATAATTCAGGTCTTAATGAGTAAAACGAGGAGAAACGGATCATAGAGAACAAGAACAACAATATTTTTTTGTTTACGTCATCGTACTAAAGAAGTCATAGAAACCAAACCCACCTTGATTCTCGTCGTTTGGCTCCATCTTCGATCAGTTCCACTTTAGATCTGAAGTGAGAAATGCATGAAGACAACGCTTTCGTTTAAATGCAATTCATCAACATACAAAAATTAGTTCAGAATAACTGAAATGCAACAAATTCAGGTAAGCATTATTCATATTTTACTGACCGTAAATTATAAAGCAAAACCGTTGGACCACGAGGTTGTTAAAATCAATGCAGTTACACTTTCCTTCGCAAAACCAAGGTCGTGTTGTGACACGCATTACATGTGTTACATAGTGAAATACCAAGAGCTGAACTAATTAGATCAGCATAGGCATTTTCAAATCTTTACATATACTGCGAGAAAGTAACCCAGAATTACTCCTACGAAGCACACCCATCTGGAGATGTAAAACTGAATGCCATCCTAGAGTCAGGGTATTTTCAAAAAAGTGAAACCACGAAAAAACACTGTATGGGGGGGGGGTGTAATTGGATTTATGAACCAAAAACGGTTATTTCTACCAAGGTAACTAACTTACTTCTACCTTCACTAAACTATTTTCTGCTAGAGAATAGGTCGGATTTGTGGGTACAACCTATAGATTTCCATCAAAATGGAATCCGAAATGATGTCTCTGGCCCCACCTAGGGTTGTTTTACTATCTGGAAGGTCAGTTTAGAGTAGGATGTAGGCTAAAGGCAACTCATTGGGTCAGTTTTCAAGTTCTCACTTCTAATCTTTGTACATTAAACTGTAGCTAGAAAACCACGTCGGGTAGATGAACCTCGAAAGGAGCGGTGGCCTTATTTAGAGGCGCGCCGCGATCGCCACGTCGCAACGTAGTGTACGGACTCATGAGGTATTCTGTGACTGAGCATGCTGACCAAGCATAACTCCACTGCATCCTCGAGCGCTGTCGTTGGTCGTCCGCAGCCGCTTAGTTGGTCAGCCTAGGCTCATCTCTATCACTAGATTGATGACTAACCCCTTACTCTCTCTTTGGTCAAACGTCACGTAGCATACACCTCTATTTTTGGGAATAAAAGAAGGAACACTATTGCGAAACTTCCCAAAACAGAACTCAAAACTGAATCCAGGGTATAGTGTTCTTGATGATCACCGTATTGATTGAGCGATATTATCAGTGGTGCATATCCATCGTCCTGTCCAGTCTTTGAACTCCAGACCAATCTCGTGGAAGGCGTGTGTGTTACCACTGTGCCAACCAACTCATACCAGGGCTAAACGGAATTGCCAATACATCGGAAGAACTGAGAGATGCTTGGCCACTCGAATTTCAGAACACGTCCCGGGAACTCTAGCACTCAATGGCTCGAAGATCCCCTCCGGCTCTATTACCCGCCATATATAGGACTGCAAATTTCCCATCGATCCAAAGCAAGCATTCCGGGCGTTAAACCAACAGAAAACGGGGCGGCTGTTACAGCTTGCTGAGGCCGTAGCAATTCGGTATCACAAACCAAACCTCTGCAACCAATTAAACTTTGTGGCCAGCCTAACCCTCTCATGGTAGGGCTGTCACCTTGATCTAATACATGGTTGTTCAAGTGTCATCTTTAGTGACAGTCAGTCAGTTCATTGTTGGTCCGACAGAAACGAAGGGAGCCACAGTTGACCATCTGTTGACTCCAGTTGGAAGCCTCCCACCAAATCAGGTCTTCTATGCAGGTTACAAGGTGATTTACCACAAACCTACAAGGATTGAGTGACAATTCACATGCAACTCACAGTTAATTGTGCGTAGTGATGAGGGATAATTGATAGTGATTTACCCCTTTTACTCGTCATTCAATGAAAGTAAAACCGAAAGCGTGCAAGAATGAAAGCAGAATGAGAAAAAGATAGCAGAAAAACATTTCACTCACTTCGCCACTTGCTCAACGACAGATAGTTCTTCCTGATGCTGTTTCTTCATTAATTCTAAAAGTGCTTCGGCATTGGCCTTTTCCAACTCTATCCGTTTTATTCGGGCTTCCAAATCAGCGTTTACAATTGTAGCCGTCTAGATGGGAAATTATATAACTGGATAGGTCAAAAGAAGTATATTTCAAACAGACGCGGGCACAAGCACATCTCAACCGGATTACCAGTTTGGTCATCTAAAATACTGGGCTATGGATTGTTAGTCAATACGCATCATTTGTTCCGTATGGGCGCCTACAGGTAAGCAGAAACTATTAACATACTCCTTTTGGAATCATATCTCCAATTTTACTACTGTTTGTTGTTCCAGTGTCACACTTTTCTGTGCTCTAAATTGGGCGCTTTGTTTAATTCTCACATTGAAAAACCCCATTGTAAATAAACAGATCAATTGAGTTCATAAAAATTCATCAAATTCCATATCAGTAATCGGCGAATGATTGACACGGTCTAGTTCACCGTTCTTCACAAAACTCACTCACAATGAAGATGAAGATGATAAAGCAGGAAAACTAATAATAGTAGTAATAATTTTAATGAAAATAATAATGATTGAGAAGGATATTACTACAAACGAAATCAGAATGAAAAATCTTATAAGTTTGGAGGATATGTTTTCTCTCACATTTGGTGGCATGTGAAAAATATTTTAGAAGACAAGTACACTGATATTAATAAGATTATAATAACCGGGAGATTCAATTGTTGGACGGAGTAATGACAAGATTTCTTCAGTCCACCGATCTCTTTTATTGATAACCACTAATTTTAAAAACTTTATCTATATTCTTTAATTGAATATTTCATTTTAAATTCAACTTTCTGGTATCAAGAAGCGCTCACTAAAAATAAACGTTAGAGATTGCAAAGAATTTAAAACGTTTAACCGCGAGATTCGAACACAGACCATGCAAACCCAAGACAAGTGACATCATTTGGTTGATGGCTTGACTTAATCATTAATATAAACGATAGCAAACTCCCATCTACTCCCACCTTATACGTTATAAAATGTACATATAAATGCAACAGAAAGTTTTTTGCGTAAACACCTAACCTCAATATCGCTATACTTTATCTTTGGGATGCAACAGACTGAGCGAATTCCAACCAGTCAATTCACCTACAGAGATGTCAAATAGTATCCCATAGTACAAATGATCTTGCACGACAGTTAAACATAGACCAGTAGAAACAGATTACACGCACGAAAGTGATCATTCAACTCGCCAGATTTGACTTAAACTTACACTCTCTTGAGGTTTGAAGGGGTTGTCTACTCCGAAAGGCCGGTGATCCACCCATTGTTTGGAAACAAATTCTGTCGAGTCTGTACCACAAAAAATTGAACAGAATTTTTAATTAGACCGTTCCAAATATGTGCGGCAAAATTTCTAGTCAATCTATTAACTGAAATGTAAACATGTAAGCTCACACAAGTTATATAAATACAAATTATAAACTAATTAGATTTCAATACGTTAAGTGATTCATTGAACAACACATGTGTGAATTGTTTTACATGCAATTTTCCGCTCGTTAATATTAATATCGTACAGTAAGAAACATTGTAGTGTGTATTTTGTTTGATATATGTACTGTATATGTACGCGTATAAAACGCAAACTTAACATCATATAGCGTCTCACTATCTAGCAAAGATTTCCACGTAATCAATGGTACATTCACAAGGTAACCAGTCATGTTCTATTGTCAAAGAAGAATCCTAGCACCCAAACGCATCAATCATTCAGAATTTGGTACCTCCCGATCGATTTATCGAATCAAGTGAAGACGGTCTACGGATACGTGTTCTCGAAGTTGATTGGAATACTTTGGCAAATTCGTCCATTTCATCGGTCCTCTTTGAGCGTTCTGGAGAGGCACTGAGGATGAAATCATTCAGAAAAGATACACATATTGCAAATATTCAGCATTTGTCTTTAGAAAACTTTTGTAAATCCTTTTCATTGATATAGTTGCAATACCAATAAATAATGTACCGATGCAAAAATGACTATAAAATAAAAAATAAAAATAGTTATGATCTCTGCTCTTCACTGATGCGATTTAAGTAAAAAAGGGTTTTAATTGCAATTATTCAAACCAAAGCTTCACATACAGTCCTCGTTTTATCTAAACAACTATACACTCCTGGATGTACGGGTTTGAGATTTCACTCTCACTGTGGCTCATCAGTAGCAGGTGAACTTTAGAACCCCCGTGCAAAAGGCGTGCGTGTTACCACAACGGGACTGACCAGAAGTACCGTGTAATTATCGTAATCCAATGTAATCTGATTCACATCACTATTCACCAGTAACTGTTATTTAAAAGGGTGATCTTCAGTATAAATAATTGGCATTCCAGGTTACTGTTCTTGATACTTTGAAACATGGTAAGCTTGGGGTCAATACTTAGGCAAAACATTATCACTTTTTTAATAGAGCAACGAATGAACTTACAATCTTTGCTTTTAACAAACCAGTTTATTAGACCGCTTTATGAATCCTTCAATCTTTATACTTTATACATTGAGTGATATGGCTGGATGTCGCAAACAGTGGCGCTCGTGCATCCACTCATTATTCTCCTAACACCACTCTTAATTGATTCCCCACCTTACGCTTGAATTTGCTTCGACATTCCAATCCACATTTCTCTCTTTTATCCAAATGGGCAACCAAAAGACAGCAACCAAAACCAGTGCACGAAAGTGCATGGTTAATGGTTGTAAAAACTGAACTGAACTATACTTACCCTTCATGTCATTCATTGACCTAAATAAGATTGTTCTTTATGGTATGCTCGAAAAGAAACACTGAGAAACTTCAATCAGACTATACCATAACAACATATAATTGATGCTACAATCAATCAAGCGTGTAAGCAATAACAACAAAAGCAAAAATCTCACGTAATGTGTGTGAGTCCTTTAGCTTCTGCTATGGAAGTCCTACTCACTGGATTCTCATGAGGAGTGTTTTTAAGTAAGAAGCCAAAAATTGACATCCTTGGTTAAAATCGGATTGATAAGCCCAGACAGCTAAGTCACATCTGGAGGAGCTTAACACTGTCATCCTAAACTTCACACAAGGAGGATTATCTGATCGCTATTATTCCAGGCTCGTTGGAGCCAGAAAACACGTTTGAGATCTTCAATGCGCAAAACGCCCTCACACACGTAAAATCCATCTGACTGGATATTGGCTCCCGGTAGACTGCGATTTTGATATATTGCCTTGAGAATTGAGCTTTGACTAACCAAGAACTCCAATTTTGAGACCCTCAAAATATCACCGACTTTGACACAAACACATTAACGGTATTAAACTCATAAACATTTACGGATTTATGTTTAGCATTTCGAATTTTTGTGCTTCCATATTTGTAATATAGCTTGGAACTAGGCAAGTGCGAATTATATATTGTCATCTGTGTATAATTTTAGCTGTGCTAAAATTAATATATAATCAAAGAAATAAAATAATAAACTAATAGGATAACTCAATAGAGCCCAAGTTGCGAACGCTCATAAAATAATGAAGGTGTCATAAGCATTCGGACTCTGTTCAGATAAATGAACAAGTCCGAAGAAATAATCTGAAGTTAGCCAAGAGTTGTAGTGAATTCAAGATCAGACGTTAATGATAACTCTGGATCCAGAAACTTTTGATAGTAGTCTACTGCTTGAGACGGATTTTGTTTGAGGGAGGATCGGGCGAATAACGGAAACCGCCGTAAGGAGTAAAATGAAACTGTTGGTTTGATTAGCCGTGCAAATTTGCCATGCACCTATTTATGGTCTTAGTTTTTTCTCTTTCTGTCCAGTTATTTATTGAATAACTAGACTCCCCAAAACAAATTACCACAATCTGAGTCATAATTGAGGGAGAGTCGTTCGTGTTCCCGGACCTCGAACGCAGTGCATGAACATTTCTTTGAAGTTCAAACACGTCTTTGATTGTAAACCTGCTTTGAAAAAGGTTACTCACGGTAATCGAAACGTCGGCAAATATAATTATCTACCGACACTGCTGTGTTATTAATATTATAACATTCACAATAACACAACACATGGTGCATCAAATTTTTGATACACTCCTAACATAGAGACCACACTAAACCAAAACACACAGCGGTCTATTGATGCGTAATATTGATTCAGGGCACTGCAAACATGTATCTGTGTGAATGACTAAGCATACGATTGGATGACCAAAATGACACGTCATATTGTCACCTGATTTATTCGCCCACATCAGCGCGAAACTACCGGTTATGATTGATCGGCTCACTGGATTTAAAAGATAAATTGGGCACAGACTGGGAAGCATTAACCACCCCGTCACAAGATATTTTAGATTTGGGAATTATGTTCTAATTTTAAACTTTTGAACAATTTCTTATCTTTTATCTGCATATCGTGACCATATTTTCTTACGGCCTAAAATTAACAAGATTTGAAATTTATATTGTTTTAATAACCGTTGTCCATGAATTTTGAAGGTTGCTATTCGCTATTTATGAGCCATTTTTGGTGCGTAATAAATGTAATAAAGTGAATGTAAATTAAATTTTTATTTAAAAAGCTGTTATAGAAATTGATGCAAGCCATCCCATAATGGCTGACTGCTTTAAAATATCAGAGTTTATGAACAGACAGAACAAAATAATGAAGTGAAAATAATGTAGATAAATTTAGTTTGCTTTTGTTTTATTTTTCATGTAGAAAAATAAAGTAATTCAAGTAAACGGAATTAGATAGACTTACTCATCCGATAGAAGAGCGTCAAGCGAGGATTTGACGTCAGTGGATAAACCCGGGGCTGTTCTCGGCCTAGATCGAACATTTGGATTCAAAGGAGGTTTTGATCGGTCTGCAGTAAAAGGCCTTTGGTCAGCTGTTAATTGCTGGAATTGGAAGTACAAAGTTTACTGCCTATCAAGGGCTTTGAGATATTTTTAACGTTGCACGATGGAAGCTTAGAACCAACTTGTTTTCCAAAGACTTGGTTAATGTAAAATAATGTAAAAAATAATTTCACCAAAAAAATTTACAGCAAAAAAGTAAAAATCACATCCCATTTTTGAGTATAGTGAAGAATTTATTTTGAAAATGTATTAAGCATGTTGGGAGCAGAACGAAACCAAATTTTATATCACCAAAGCCAAGATTTTGAGGACTAATCTTATAAAATTGAACTGTTTAATTAACACTTCCAATAAGATTATATTATTTATGTTGTAATAAATCAGCTGCAAAAATTGAGCCTCAATGTCTTCCACAGTCAATCTGGAGTAAATACTCGCTCTATCTTGCAACGTGCATCGTATGTTTACATGAGAGAACACTAACAAAAACAAAAAACTAATCTATGTTATGAAATTAAAGATGAAGATCACAACAAACTGTAGTTTCTGAAGACTTAACGGTTTGGAAATTTCGGTATGCTATTTTGAAAACGAATAATGAATGGTTGTATAAAAATCTCCATTTTTTATCATAATAATTCGCGTGATCAAAAACTGAAAGCACTGACCAAAACAGCCTGACGCAAAATGTGAGTGTTTTACGATATCTCGAATGTCAGCCAAATGAACGAATGACTGAATAAGTATTTGATAGATTGCTATTCTACCTAGTGTTACACACGAATTAATTCATATGCATCTCAAGTTGCAGGCCTGGCGTCTAGCACAAGATCTGTAGTGGGAAAGATACTAAATATACGAATAATTAAATGAAAACTGAGTAGGAACTTTCACGTCAGTTTTTGTTGCAGCGTTAAGTACCTAATAGGTATCTTTTATAAAATATCGCAACAATATTTTGAGTAAAACAACAAAATGAGTCTAATTTATAAAATTTCTAGTGTGAAATCACTTTTATTAACGAAACGCTTGACCATTGTTGAGAGAGCTGTCCCCCTAAATCCTCTCGTTAGGCGTGAATAGTAAAACAAAATATTACATTTCATGGATAACGTTTAATATTTTTTAGTGCGCAGTACAAAATACTAAAAGTCATTCGAGAGCGAATGAAATCAAAACTATACTACTCACTCCATCAAAGAGTTGCAAACTATTGTCTCTTTCTTCCATAACATCCACCTTCACAGAGTCGGAGAACCGCACGCTTCTCTTATTGGCAGTCTGATTGGAAGCGGATTCTGGGCGGCTGATGTTCATCACATCAAGATGGTTCGCAGCAACGTTTAAGGACTGGCTTTGTTCAGGAACGGATTTTTCTTTCGATACCCCCAAAACATCTGAAATAAATCTTTCATTTAGTTGCGAAGAATTGGCATTCATAGTGACAATAGTTAAATAAAATCTGCAGATCCTACCATCGGCGTAAGGTTCGATTAGCCGGTCCAGTACACTTTTCCTCATTTTTGAAGTAGTTTTACTTTGAGCACTTGGTTCGGAAGGCTTATTTGTGGCGTTGGAAGCCTTATCTAAACCATTACGATCTTTATTATTGATTTAATATGAACATGTTATTTTACGAACCAGAGGAGTTCGTGGGTTGGCTCTTTGAATCGTAAGTTATCGATTTACCTGTCTTGCGTGAATTAACTGACTCTGAAAAATCAATATCCTTGAGAAGGTCGTCTAAATCTCCATCATCTGCATTGGCATGATGCTATTTGTACACCTCCGATCGCAACAAACCTTCATCCAAAAAAGATTTTGATTTTTTCTCAGTTTTTAACTGAAAAATAAATTTATCTCAATGTATTTACTTTGTCTGTATCTTCAGCTACAGAATTTGCCAGGTCGCTGTAAAATGTTGACATTTTTGAAAAACCGGCAGAAAAAAATAATTAGTTAAAACAAAACCGAATCCTTGTATATCGAAAAGTGAAAAGCATTTTTGGAGTGAATAAACTCATAACTCATACCGGAATCTTGTGTTCTTCTGTGACGTCGATGTGATTGGAGCTACAATAGGATTTAAGTCACTTAACCAAGAACATGCTCAGACTGGAGGCCAGCAGTGAAAGTGCCCTCGGCAGACACATGAATGCCGTCATAAAAGGTATCACAGAACCATTCTGCGTCTTTGGACGCTAGAGTGAACTAGGTCTAAGGCAAAGCCTCATTAATCTCCTGAGAATGACAGATGTGCCAGGGCACGTTCTCTTGAAGAGAATGTTCCGGTTAGGTAGGTGAACCGGCAAGCCAGGCGGTACCCAAGCGGCTACCAGGCCGGCTCTAGTGGATTTCGGAAACCATAGGTATAGGGACGAGTTCCTGGCAGCCGCTGATGCAGTGAAAACGGCAATAGCAGACAGAGTCTCGGTAGAGCCGAATCTCCTTGCCTCAGGGCAGAGAAAACGCCTGAATATCAGTAGCGAGACAAAATTGAGGTCGAAATAAACCATTGGATCACCACGGGTCATTGTTAATCGAATAGACTCCACACTCATGCCACCCAGGGCTGGTAGTCTTGGCGAGATATATGCAAGTGTAGCCAAACGCAGCCTGACAGAAATAATTTGACCCGTCCTGAGGAGAACCACATCAACCCGTGTTGAGGGCAAATGTAACAAAAATCGGAGAAAGAACTCGGATGTAGCACCCGAGTGCAACGTCAGCCAGGTTAAAGAGACAGAGAGGCCAAAGGCGAACGAGGGACTGCAACTGTTGTAAACCAATGCCTGCCGCATTGAGAACAAATGGGGAGAACTCAGGGTTGAGTCCAGAGGCTTCGATTATATAGCTGTGACGAAAACCTGGCTGCACCAGGATACAAAGGCAGAAACGCTGGCACCGCCAGGATACTGCAGCTACAGGGCAGATCGAACTAACGGGCGGATTGGCGGAGGAATAATGGTGCTGGTAGCCAACGATCATAAGCAAGTGACTGGGGGGGGGCAGTAAGTGACGCTTAACGTTCAAGCCACTTCGTGCTGCATCAAAACACCAGGAAGGGATAACTCGGTAGCATATGCATGCAGAAGCCCAGCATCAAGTCAGAACAAAGATCGCCAGTTGCTGTCATTCCTAAAGACAGTAGCAGAGAGGAACGGAAACGTGGTAATTATTGGAGACGCCCTTGAGGCAATATTGGAGAAACTGATTGCTCCGCCCAACCCATTTGGGGACGATATAGTGAAGTTCGTACTGGACCTTGTTCTTGTTCAGCATGTCACCAGTCCAACAAGGTGGCGGGTAGGGAATAAAATTGGGCTTCTGGAATTGGTAATCACGAAAAATTCCAGCGAGGTCGAATGTTTGAGAATCACAGCACCACTTAGGCGGAGTGACCATGGAGTATTGCGCTTCACCATCCCAGGTGCGATAAATGTGTCCCTGTTAGGACGGAGCTCACAAAATCCGTCCTGCCACGCAGCGACGCGCATCACACCACAGTGCGCTCGTGATGCCCACGCCGAATCGACTCCTGATTGGATGACTAAGGCTAATCAATTAGCTGTTGTCCGGTCGATCAACCTGAGTGTCAAGGTCACCATCTGATTGGCGCGTCACCACGTCTGCTCGCGTACGCCCAACTGACCACATATATTTGCTTGTTGTG